AATAAACGTTGAAAAAAAAAATTTAAAAAAAAAATAAATAAAGTCTATTTTTTCTCACGATGATGACTATACATCCTCATTATAGACACTCTGCAAACTGCGGAGAAAAAAAGGGAAAACTACTCACGGTCTTACGACCCACGAATCGCTGTGAATCTTCTGGGCCCTTTCTTCCTGTTCCCACCAGAGCTAAGGTCCCTCCGTGTCAGGGCACATCCTTTCTCACTTCCCCCCAGCCGGCGGGCCCCCAAGTTCCCACGGTGGCTTCGTGAGCGAGCCCTGCACCCAGGGCGCTGGGTGACAGGCATGTGGGGGGCACACCGCCAGGTGGGGGCTGAGAGCGTTTCTGCCAGCTCCTGGGAGGCTGGTGGGGCCAGCCTGTGATGCCCCCTTCTTAGGGCCGACCGGTGAAGGAGAGAAAGAGCTGGACCCGTCTCTCTACCCCCGGGCACTCTCCCTCACGACTGCCCTGGCTCTCCTGACAGATCTCCCCGGAATACCTCCTCTCACTGGAGGCATTTCCTGCTCAGAAACCTCCCAGGGGCCCCCGCTGCCTTGCAGATAGGTCCGATTTCTTGGTCTGGACTTCAAGGCTCTCCCCGCTGGGCCCCAGCCTCCCTCACTACCTTCTTGCTCTGCTCTTCTGAATGAACCCTCCGAGGCAGGCGGCCATGGCCGGCACTTGGGGCCCGCTCCAGGGTGCAGCCCGAGTCTCGGTGCAGGAGCGCCTCTCACTGGAATGTCCTGCCTCCAGCCCGGCCGGGCCCTGCTCTTCCTCTCCGCCGCCCGAGACCCCCTCCATTCTCAGTCTTCAACCGGTCTGTCCTGAGGGTCTTCGATCTGGCCAACCAGCACTGGGGACCCACAGGAGACGAACCCGGGCCCGGCCAGGCACACACGGGCCCAGCTCGGGGCGACGGCCTCGTGAACAGACAGCTGACACCGGGTAAGGACGGTGCTGGGACCGCCCGGAGAACCCTCACCAAGGAAGGCAGCGACCCGCTCTTTGTGGGTCGGGTCAGAGCCTGCCACCCGCACTTGGCTCCCCAAGACCCATTCCTCGGGTGTGACCACACCGGCTCAGACTTCTGGCTCCACCCGCTGGGGCCACCTCCTCCCCCTACCGGGGTCTTGGGGCCCTGGGGTCGGCAGGCCCAGGCTCTCACTGGCCACCTGGCAGCTTTGTCTGCTCTCCGCCCGCTGCTGGAGGACACAGGTGCCACACAAGGTTCTCCTTGCTCACCAGTGGGGTGGGCGATGAGGCTGTCAGGCCCTTTCCTGCCTTCTGGGCTCAGAGCTCAGGAAGGGAGGTGGGACAGAGGGAGAGTGGAAAAGACAAGAGGAGAGGGCGTCAGACTTACCTGGTCAAAGAGCTGGTGCTGAGCCAGGTACCCGACGTCCCTCGGCTGAGCCGCAAGAGAAAAACCAGAAGTGACACAGAAAGCCTGGTTAGTCGTAAGGGACACCCTCCAGGTGCTGCCGTTAGTGGCCTCTCGGCACCAGGGTGCACCCGGCCCCAGGCAGCCACCTGGCAAGGACCCTCGGCTCTATCCTGCTTGGTCCCCCCCCCCGTGACCTGGGGGCGAATGGGACGCTCTCCCTCTGGGGCCAGGCTGGGCCTGGGGGAGACTCCGATCCGGGGCTGCCTCTGTAGGGGCTGCTCCAGGACTCAGCTTCCTCCCTGAAAATGAAGAGGCTGCACATACAGGAGGCTTTTTTATAAATAAAAATGGAACTACACCATATGTATTACTTTGGAAAATTTTTCATTTAATGACAACATCACGAATATCTCTTCGGGTGAGCACAGACATACGTGCCTCATTCTTTTGACGGGTCCATGTTTCATAGACGGGACAGATCACTATGAAGTCAACCATCCCCTGCTGGTGGACATTCAGGGTGTCTTCCTGGCATTTCCACAAACAGTCTAACATCCTGGGCCTTCCTTATGTTTATGTTCTCCCAAAAGCAGAACAACCGAGTCAAGGGGCATGAGCATTCTAAGTTCCAGTTGCTTCTGCCAGGTTATTTTCCCAAAAGTGAATCCCAGGTTGTCTTCCTGGCAAAACTGTCAGTGCCCGCTTCCTACACGCTGGCCTGCCCTGGGGATGATCATCTTGTGAGAATTTCCGCCAGCAGACGGATGAAAAGATCTCTGCTTTCCACACCGGGCTCCACAAGGCTCAGGGGCTTCCTGGGAGGAAGGGCTTCCTGTCTAGGGCTCTGGAAGGGCCAGTGGGGGCAGAGCTCGCGCAAGGCTGCCCCCCCCCCCACCACAGCCAGCGCGGAAGTCAGCCTGGGTC